GTTCACAGGCACCCGTGAGAATCTCCACGCTCTCACCCAATCTCTGTCGCAGATCCTCGATCTCCGATTGCAGCGAGCCAATTTCCTGAGCCTTCTCCTCGAGCATTTGAATGGAACTCGAGCGCAGTTGGGCTGCCTCGGCCTCAAGTTCCACATACTGCTGCTCCAGCATGTCCCGCTCATCGATGGGCGACAGGCGGCCATCCTTGCTGAACTGCTCCTCGTACTCACGCACCTTCTCCATTAGCTCGGTGAACTTCTTGTCGCTCTCGTGCTGCTCATCCTCGTAGATCTGGCGCTCCTTCTCGAACATTTGCCGCTCTTCGCTGAGTTTCGATTGCCAGTAGTCCTCGCAATCCTCATAGGCGCGCTGCATTTGCTCGAGGCTGGCCTCCAGTTCCTTGGAGCGGCTTTCGGGAGTGAGAGATCTGCCCTCCTTGGCGGCCTTAAGTTCCTTCTCCAAATCAGCCACCCGTTGCCTGAGGTTGGTTAGTTCCTCATCCTGGCTTTGACTTCTTTGGAGCTCGGAGTTCAAAGCCAACCAATCGCCGCTATTGCTGGCATCACTTTGGTCGCCTTCAGTGCACTTGCGCTGCTTTCCTAGTCGCGGACTCTCCTCTGTGAGATGTGTTTTGCTAGGCGAATCGCCACGCCTTTTAGTGGCCGTGGCAGCCGCCTCCTGCTCCTCCTGTTTCTCCTGCTTTTCCTGCTTCTTTCCCTTGCTTTTCGAACGGATCAGTTCCACATTTAAGCTCTCAATTTCGATGGTCAGTTCGTCAGTCTTGTCACGCAGCTGGGCGTTTTCCATTTGCAGGGCAGCCAGCTTCTCCATCAGCTGCAGCATCTCCTCCTCCTTGTCCTCGCTGTGCCTCCTCGGACGCATTGGACTGTGCTCGGGAGTGCCACTGATGCTGCTCGGCCGCTGGGCCAGTTCCTGGTTGAGCTTAATGTTCTGTTCGAGTAGCTCGGTGAGTTGGACATGCGCCTTCTGCTGTTCCGACTCCAGCTCTGAGTTCTCAGTGCGTAGCAGTTCGAGCTCCGTTTTAAGACGGATCTCCTCCTGCTCGAGGGACTTAAGCTGCGCCTCCAGCTTTCCCGTCATGGTGGTCCAATGATCGCGATCATTGCTCATCCGCAGTGTGAGTTCCCTCACCATGCTGGCGTGTCGCTGCTCCAGTTGCTGCACCTGCTGCTTGGAGCTGTCCTCCAGCGAGGCATGTCGCTCATCCACCTCCACGGCCAGCAGGGCCACCCTTTGGTTCGCCGCCTTGTTGTCGGCTCTCAGCTTGAGGTTCTCTTCGTGCTGCTGACGGAAGGCCAGTCGGTAGTTACCCAACTCGGTGGCCTGGAGAGCAGCCAGTGCACGCAGCATATTCGACTGCTCCTGATCCCCTTCGAGACCACGCAGCTCTTCCTCTAGCGCCTTGGTCAGCTGCAGCAGATTGACCTCCTCTTCCTCATCGAATCCGAGGATGTGGAGCAGGGTGCGACTACTGGGAATGCTGGCCAGCTCCCAGGCTTCGATGATGCTGTGCACTGAGATCGTCTCCAGCTGCTGGGGCGTCACCGTGTCTGCAAATCATGGCAATTAGCAATTAACGTGGGACGAAGAAGATTAGCTACGCTGTTGTATATACACATTTATTATATATATATTTAGCCCGAGATACCAGGTGGGTGTGGGATTGGGAGTGGGAGTGGTGGTGGGTGTGGATGACTATGGTGTAAGCGAAAGCGCCGAAAGTTTGCTGTTTCTCTTTATCAAATGGCTTTTCGACATGGGAACAAAATAGTAATTGACCTATATCTTTTACTTTAATATGAAAAGTAATAATAAATCAAAAATAAATCAATTTAAAAACATAAAAGTTAATATTATTAATAGCTTTGATATATTACTCTTTAATTGAAACAGCTTTAATAGGGATAGGAAATTTAGGATATGTGATTATACGAGTATACAGAACGAGTCAAATGTGCGGCTACATAGGGTGCGATTAGATACCGAATGACTGGGTTGGGGTTTCGGTGGGTGTGGGGAGGTGTTGACAATTGCTGGAGAGCGCACAAACCTTTGCAACATGACCAACGGCCGCCGTGGTAGCATCTTCGGTGCTCGGACGACGGTGCGGAATTGGTGGCCAGGTGATGGCCTACGGTGTGTTTTGTTTTTATCATTGCTTCGAACGTAATTTTGGCATTTTGGGCTAACAACAACAGAGGGTGGCAGGGGCAAAGGGTTTGGCTAATCTGGGGATAGATGGGGGAGATGGCTTACCCAGGGACTCCACGCTGCTGCTGTGCTGTGCCTGGATGGAGAGCTGCTTCAACTTGGCTGCGGCCGTCGGCGATGTAGCCGCTCCTGTGGAGGTGTTGTGCATCTTGGACTGAAGACTCCGGCGTGCTGGCAGCGAGGCACATCTCTTCAGTTTGCTCCCGCTGGTGTGAACTGATCGCAGGCGCCGACTGCCAGGGAGATCGCTCTGGGACGAGGATCGTTGGACCTGTGGAAAGTGAGTATAATATAGTTTTAATAGTGCTTAATGATTTAAGAAATATATGTTCATTATTCAAGAAGAAAGTGTTCTTGAATTTGATTCTTTAGGAAAATCTCAAAGAGAGTACAATAAAAAACTATATATGTATAGTGGCTTTATCTACTGTACCAGCAATTATTTAGCTTCAGAAAAAATCTGTTCAGTAAGCATTATTGCTTACACAGCCAGAAGTTGTATTGCCACTTCGTACGTGACTTCATGATCGTGACACCCACCTGAACTCCCAGCTCATCGCAGCCGTTGAGACTCCGCTGCTTCTGCTGCAGCTGTAGCTGATCCTCATCCGTATTGTCCGAGTCCGTGACGGACAACTCGTAGATTCCCTGATGCGGCCTGGAGCGGCGTCCGTACTTCTTGGTGCCCACAATGAGTTTGGGCGACACTTCGCGGTCGGAAGACTCGGGCGGACTCTCGATATATGTGCTGGTCAGGGGCTCATCCGTGATCACCAGCGAACGCTCTGTAAGATTCAAGAGATATAGGTTAGTGGCGAACTGGAAGAGTTGTATGGATCTCAGGTGACTACCAAAACGAGCGGCCAACTTCTCAATTATTGGATCTGCGGTCTGGCCGCCAGATTGGCGGTAATACAATCGTGTTCCCATTTCGACTTAGACTGAAACGCTGAACTGAATGAGCCGCCTATTTATGCAGGATCAGACAGGCTACCTGATGAAGTGCATCGGGATCAGGTAGGCGGCGGCAAATGTGGGTCATAAAAAATTGGCAATTGCATCTTTTCTTTTATGACCACCAGCTGCCGACGTGCTAATCCGCGAACTGATTGTGATATTCGTACCCTTCGGTATGCTAACTTGGCCTGGAAATTTTCGAACAAGATAAGATTTGATCCTTACAACACTTTGTAACTGCTATAAGAGCATCAGTTCTATCTGAAGCAAGGTCTTAAGAGGTTGTATTAAGTAAGTTTATGTTAAAATGGAGAATGATACGGATATTAAATACTTAGATTTGTAAAAATATCTTACATATAAGATAAGAAATATGGAATAAAATGATCTCGATAGATACGACTTCGTTTCTCATAAATCAGCTTAAGTGTGGTCTATACCATTAATATAAATATTGATATAGTTTCAGAGAAGCATCTTTAAATTCTGGATCCAATTCCCTGGTAAAACAGAACTACTATCTCTAATAATTGGCTTGCAAACAATCTGTAATTATCTGATGTTGCTTGAAGGGTAATTAAGGCGCAATTACAGATAAGCCGTATGATGTTGCTCTATGAGAACCTGTCGGGTTAGCTAAAGTCACTATATGGTAGGGTATTCCCAGCTTGGCTGCCCGATTCCTAGTGTTATCTCACCCATAAAACCCGATGACGTCGTCGTCCCATCGAACTCCGATCCCAGGAAGTTGAGCAGAGCCTCCTTGAACTGGCCAAAGGACACGCCCATCTGGTGACTGCCGCCCAAACTGGTGATCAGGGCCGAACCCTGATCCCGGAGCTCCAGCAGGGAGCACAGTTTCAGCAGAGACTTCTCGTCCAGCAGGCCGTTTCCAGTTTTCTCGCAGCTCCGGAACATTTGATAGAGCTTCTGCTCGTACGGATCGGCGGAAACCTCCATTATCCGTATCCTGGGGAATTCAGTTTGCGGCCGGTCAAATCGATAGGGTGCCCAATTGCGTATTATGATTTCCTTTTCTTTTCTTTTTTTTGGGGGAAAATCCACAAGCGCAGTCAGGGGTCGAAAACAAAAAAATATCGTGTGCGTGGGAGGGGGGAATTACGCGTGTATTTTTAGACAGCCGGAGTTCTGCGGGGTTACTAAAACTACTAATCTATGATATGCACTTGGAGACGAAACATAAACACTCGCGCGTTTGCGGTTTTTTGGGATAGGGATAGCGTAATTTCTGGCGAGTTGAGTTGATAAAAAACAATAATGCAGTAATACCAAGCACGGTGGCGCGCTCTGGTGGGCAGTAATCGAACTTATGGTGGGGGTGGTACTATCGGCAACTTTAGTGACTATCGGTTGGAAAATGCAAGTATTTAGATTTGAAGGACAAAACCTTGTCAATTAGAAACACAAAAGTCATGGAATTTATAGGCCTATGCGTAAATAAATTCATTTTGAACATTGTTAATGTTAGCTATAGTACTGTGAAACGCTAACGGTAAACTGCTTGCTTTGGTAACAAAGCAGTGCAACATGTGAAGCGTTCATCGAAATTCACCCGGAAATTTGGTATTTTTCTGGTATTTCCCCAGCTCATCTGAGTACCGCGCTGAAAAACAGACCCGACGAATACGTAAGTCGTCTAGTTGCCTCTCGCTCCCTCCTATAGTCAACATACAATAAATAATTGGAGTACAATTTAAATATGGTATTGGTTTTTTAAAATCCCGCAACAACACGTTTCCATCGCACTATCGATAACAGTCCGCGCTAGCCGTCGCTAGCAACCCCAACCGATAGTTCTATCGATTGTTTTGCAGCACTAATAAATTCCATTTGCAAGCTAAAAAGAGGAAAAATATCAAAAAAAGAAAAATAAAATAGCAAAGCAGCCAGTGAGTGGAAAACTCAACCGAAAATCATGTGCCAGCGGTGCCAGCCGAAGACGACGCCGAGGGATTAACTGAGTTGGTGCAGCCAAATCCAGTCCAATCGGCACGGGGCACTGCACTCCGAAATCCGAGACTTCCGAGTGGCCAGAAGATACCGAAGAGGTTCTCTCGCCTCCATTTGTTTGCATCACGGCACGGCGGGATCAGGATCGGGATTCCCGACCGGCTGACATGGCCATGCACTCGTACATGCGCCAGGGATCGGGATCAGGAGCAGCAGGAGGTGCTGGCGCAGGAGCAGGAGTCGTAGCAGCTGGAGCACCGCCGCTGGCCAGTCCGGATGAGATGCACGGCTTCCTGAAGGACAAGCAGGCGTGGGAGCACGCCATCTCCCTGTACCAGGGCCCGGATCCCCTCGATCACTGGTACAACTACATCTGCTGGTACGAGAACCATGCGCACAGCGATCCGGAGCTGAAGTTCCGCGAGACTCTGGAACGCTGTCTGACGGTGTACGAGCACAACGACTACTATCGCCAGGATGCCCGCTTGGTGCGGCTGTGGCTCAAGTACATAGCCATGCAGACGGATCCGCTGCACTTCTACCAGGTGCTCTTTCAGCGCGGAACGGGTCGCCAGGTGGCCGCCTTCTACATTGGATGGGCCGCCTACTATGAGTCGCGCGAGGAGTTCAAGGACGCGGAGGCGGTCTTTAACTTGGCCTTCCAGGAGAAGGCGCAGAGCAACTCGGAGCTGCAACATGCCCACACCAAGTTCACCTACGCCAGGTCGCTGTTCCATCAACGACAACAGCAGCAGCAGCAGCAGCAACAACAACAACAGCAGCAGCCACATCCCCCGCCGGACGCACTGCAGCAACTAACAAACTATGCACAGCAGACAATGCCGCAGAGCTATCCACCACAACAACAACCACAGCAACACCGTCCCCAGCCATATCAGCAGAACGTCTATCAGCAATATCATCCGCAGGCACAGCCGCAGCAGCATCAGGCCGCACAGCCTCATCAGCCAGCGACGCAGGCACATCAGGCGCCAGAACAACAGCATGGCTATCAGGCACAGTACCAGGAGCAGCCACGCTATGAGCCACAACCTGCAACTCAGCCCGCAGCAGCAATACCAGCAGTCAATGTCCAGCAACAGCCGCAATATGCTCCAGTGGCAGAGGTGAGCGTTCAAAACATTATCTACAAAGCCATTTGATAAACTCTCCCTATTCTTTTTAGCCCCACTATGCACCAACACAGCAGCAGCAGCTGCCGCAGCCGCAACTGTCTGCAGCACCGCAGCAACAAGCGCAGCAGTCCCAGCAGCAACACAATGGCAATGGCAATCCAGTGTCCCAACCAAATCCTCCCGTGACAAGCGAAGTGGCTGGCCTGCGTTTGCCGCGCAATTTTCACGCTTACGGGCGCAACAATCATGAGACCTGGAAGCCTGCTCTCACGCTCGAAGAGCCCGATGATCCCTCGCGAGTGTGCCACTATGCCAAGCAATTGGTTTATCCACCAGGCGCTGGCATCGAGTACAGTCCCGAGGAAATACTAGCCCGCAAGTTTAAACAGCTGATGGAACAGAAGGCCAAGCCAGCTGAGCCGGCAGAACAGCCGCAGGAGCAAACTCTTTATGATTCCTACGAGTCGCAGACATCCTACTACATGACTGCCGTCGACGGAGCTCTATACGGGCAGAACAACAGCAGTGGTCAGGAGAACACGGGTGATGAGGATGAGGACAACGAGGCGGAAGGTGAAGATGAGGAGGAAGTAGGCGGAGCCAATGAGGATGATGAATCTGATGAGGAGGAGGAAGACGAGGAGGAGGAGGAGGAGCCTAGCGAACCCTACACAAATGGCGTGCAGTTCAGTGCGCAAACCACTTTTGAGCAGGAGAACCGCTCAATCAAGATTAAGTTCAGGAAGGAGCCCAGCAGCACCTACAGTGCCTATACCATAGAGAATGTTTACCAGCAGCAGCAGCAGCAACAACAACAGCAGCAGCACACGCAACAGCCACCACAACATCAGATAGTACAGCAGCCACCGCAAATAGTCCATCATCCTCCGCCGGAGCCTGCGCCTGCTTCTCCGATTCCTGTCCAGCGTCACCGCAACGGTGGCCACCACCACTTCCATCCCTACATGCTGGGCCAGACCTCGACGCCCAAGAGCGAGGCGAATGGCTATCGGAAGGCACGCACCAAAGTCAAGCGCAGCAAGTTCCAGCCGGATCTATGCAGCAACAGTAACTCGGCCTCCTCGGCGGCTGATGTGGCCACCGCCAGCTCGAGTAGTGTGGCTGCTGGAGCACCTGGTGCATTCAACGACAATGCAAACTTTTCATTCTCCAGCGCCACCGCTTTGGATAACTCAAATAGTTCGCTGGCCCTGGCCGTGGATAGACTCAACTTCCGCGACACTTCGCAGCAGCAGATCCTCCATCCGGTCAATAAGACCCTACAAACGCACAACAACAATAATAACACCAGCAACAACAATAATGGCAATAGCACACTAGCCGATTTCTCTACGTTCCAAGAGAACTCGTACTTTGCCACCCAACACGATACGGAGGCTCAGGAGCGGCGGCTTTCGAAGGCGGTGGAAACGATTGCCCGTCATTTGGCCAAGGAGGCCATCGATCCATTCAACAGCGAACTCTGTCGCGCCTTCCTCGCCAAGCTGGACTTTCCGGGCGATCATGATGCCCATGCCAGCTACAAGATTGTGCAAACGCCACTGCCAAAAATATCCAACACTCGCACGCTGAACGTCCTCGAAGGCGTGACCTTTAACATTGACAAGGAGGTGGGCCGCGGATCGTACGGCTCGGTTTATAAGGCCACAGACTCCCGCACTGGCAATGTGGTGGCCCTTAAGTATCAGAAGCCCCCAAACACTTGGGAGATTTATATATGTGATCAGGTAAGGAATCTTCCAGCTACAAATCTGAGAAAATGTTTATACTACTGATATATGAACTATTTTGAATCCACCTAACTAATTAAACATAAATCTCTTATTGTAGGTGCTGAAACGCATCAAGGAGCCGGAGGTGTTGCCCGGCCTGATGGACATTTCCACGGCGATAATCGCCCCAAATGCTAGCCTAATAGCCACCGAGTTCTCGCCGTTCGGCTCGCTGCTGGACATCAACAACAAGATCCGGCAGGCCACCACCAAGGTGATGCACGAGTCGCTGGTGATGCACTTTTCGGCGCAGATCTGCAACATCGTGGATCACCTGCACCGTCAGCACATAATCCATGCGGACATCAAGCCCGACAACTTCCTGCTGATGCGTGTGCCCAATGTGGACAGTTCGCTGCCATCGCTGCGACTGATTGACTTCGGGTGTGCCATCGACATGACCCTGTTTCCAGACGCGGAGCGCACCAAGTTCCGTAAGGTGGTGCAAACGGATGGCTTCACCTGCATCGAGATGCAGGAGGGACGCAGCTGGTCCTACGAGACAGATCTCTTCTGCATTGCGGCCACCGTGCATGTGATGCTCTTCGGTGACTATATGCAGCCGCAGAAGAAGGGCTCAAGCTGGGACATTCGACAGAAGCTGCCGCGCTACCTCAAGAAGCATGTATGGACCAAGTTCTTTGGCGAACTGCTCAACATGCAGGCGGACAAGCTGCCCGCGCTGCAGGAGATGCGGCTGATCTTCGAGGAGGAGGCATATCGTATGGATTCCGAGCTGCAGAAGCAAATACGCGCCCTATCCAACATCCTGCATCGACGATAACCAACCTATTCCTATTACTTTTTATTAAACTGTTTGTACAACCCTGTTGACCAAGTCACTTTATATCTTGTTTAAACCTTTCAGTCTAGTATCATTTCCACTTTTAAAAGGACAGAAAAACCAAACCAGGCCACAAAAATCGTTCTATTTTAGATTAGTTACCCTAAAAACACACCTTTTTCTAACTTAAATATTTAATCTTTCTAATTTTATTTATTGTTTCGATGCCAAAAAAAAGGAAAACAGGAAAGTCGAGGAAAATCAAGAGCACATAGTACGCTACGAAATTCAAAATCTTTGTAAATATTAGGCACAGACTCGATCAAAACAAAAATTGGCGAAATGAGTTTGTGAAAAAAAACAAAAAACTAATACCCTGGATTTAAAATGTAATTTTTTATGTACAGCAAACAACAACAACAGTATATTGAAGGCAATGTAAAAAGAAACGTACATAAATATATTTAAGATTAAAGCTTGCTGTACTATTGAGTAATATATAAAGAACTTTAAATGATAGTGAATAAATTGACGAAATGTTAACGCAAAAGCTATAACTATTAGGGAGAGAAAAAGGAAAGCAGCGGTAACCCAGTTTTTTAAATCAAATGCCAAAGTGGCAAACGTATAATGTGTGTGTTGCAGGCAATTGTCAATTAAGTGGGGGCATGCAACAAGTAACAGCAGCAGCAGCAGCAACACAAGCAGCATCAACAACAATGGTGCGCTTGACCCACTTTTCCTTTTTGCCAGTCAACCAAACGGCAAACAATTTCCACCAAGCGACTGGAAAAAGTTGCAACTTTTCATGCAACACACACACACACACACTTGAATAGATGGAAAAGCTGCAACAGGCACACAAAGTCAAAGTCGACGCCTGCGCTGCGGCTTTTTGTTGCTAGTTGCTGGTTGCTGGCTGCTTGTTGCTTGTTGCTGGTTGCTCGTTGCTTGTTGCTCGTTCGCCAAGTGAAAGTAAAGTGGGACAAATGCAATTATTATTGCATCTAGTAACCGACTTAGAAGTCGTGGCTCGAAACTGCAGTTTTGCAGTTGGAAAGTTGCTCTGCCGGCGTCGTCGCTTTTACACAATATTTTATTTAATCAAATTGCAAAGAGAAAATTGCAGTCGGTCCGCCGGCGAAAAACTTTCTATTTTTTTGTGTGTCGACTGCAATGGCAGCAGCAACGTCAGCTGCAGCATTAGATATTTCGCGGATTGTTTTGCATGCGATAAATTAATGAATGTGACCCACTTTTCGGGGCTTTAAGCATTGAGTGACAGCGTGGAGTTGCCAAGCGGAGCGAATGACAATGCGGCGTTTATTGGATCACTGGGGCACGCCGATCTCGATCTGAATCTGAATCTCATTCCCGATCACCCAGCCCACTTGCCAAAGAAAAGCAAGCTGACAAAAAAAATAAATAGAAATGGTTAGAGAGAAAGAAATACGTTAATAGATCAGTTAAAAGTGCTGAGCTGCGACACTTAACTGGTTTCTAATTAGGGGCTAACGGTATTCGGGCCCCACCCCAAGGAAAGAGTCTTAATCCCAGAAAAGTGGAGAGCTTCTTATTAAGTACGCGCCAGCAATTAAATCTTTTCAAGTCGGGCTTATTTTCACCAGCTAGTCGACGGCTTAAGCGGATTTGTCAGGATTATAAAACCAGATTTGCGATGTTAGTGTCTTTATAAAGAAATGGTAAGCTGTTTTCAGAACATACTAACTATCTTTTTTTTAATATTTTGTTTAATTTGTTCTTATATAATTTCATAGTTTCTATCCAACTTATATTTAAAAACAATTTTGTATTTTATCCTCCATTAAATATTTTTTAAAACTAAACATTTTTTGAAGTACATAACTTCTAAGGATCACATAAATTGCAATACATACATCTTTTTCGTTTAAGAATCCTTAAACAAGATATAAGCTTACTCTTCTTTATAAAAGATGATATTATTGGCCAAATTTTTAAATGTAATATCCTGTTTTTATATTTTTAGAGCACATCATTTTTTTATAACCGTTTTTCAAGCTAAAAAAATTGTCTTAAATTTAGTTTAAAAAAGTTCTTATTTAATAAAATATGTAAATTGCAAATATGCAACTGTAATAAATTAATACATTTTTTAAGTTGTACAATTTGTAAAACGTATCTTAACAGTCTTTTTTAATAATTTTTTTAAAAAAACTCATAACAAACATTACAAAATTAGATAGATGTGACTATTGTATACGGTCAATAGAGTAACATTTTTTTCAGTGCAGATATATATTTAAATGTAAGTTATGGAAACATTCTAGAAGTTTGAAAACATGTCTTGTTTCTCCCCCATTGAAGATCACTCAATAATAACCAATGGCTTTGCCCAAAGGAACGTTAACAAGAGAAGTTTGTGGTAAGGACCGATCTGAGTCACCATGGGAATTTAGGGTGGAACGACGACTACCAGTCGGTTAGTCATTCCAGTGACTAAGTGGGACCCTCTCTCCCTACAGGTCGTGCAAAATGGAGGATAGAGGACCCGGACTGAAAAGGTTACAAAGGGAGTTGCTCGGGGACCTTAGGCTCACCTAAATTGCAGTTGCAGCAGGCGGAATGCATCAGTGGGCACACACAGAAATTACTAGTATATGTGTGTGCAGAAAAAACCATCCAAAACCCCCTACAGATACAAATACCAGTGCCACAGATACAGATACTCTCCCCTCGAATGCAACGCAGTGTTGGCCATTTGATTGTCATGACCAACTTTTCACTGCCGCTAATATGCAACAACATGCAACAACTGTTCGCAAATTGCACGACCAAGCGAAAACTGGGAAAATAGTTAAGTAATTTGCAGTGGAAAGCAGTGTTGTAGAGAAATTCGATTTTCTTGCTTTCTGGCTTCGAGATGAGATCTTGCCGCAGTGCATCATGGCACACATAATGCTGTGTTGCACTTGGAGTCGCCGCGATCCACATCCGTTTGCAGTCGCTGTTGCCGCATTAGAAAGTTGCAACTGCAACTGTCATGGGCCGTTTGCTGCAGCTTTTCTTTTTCCCACTCGCCGAATTGGTGCCAACGTGTATGTACTGTACTTTTGTACTTGTGTACAGAGCACAGTGAATAGTGTACACTATGCAACAGGCATCCCCGCCGCCACAACTTGTAATGAGTTTTGACCTCATAAAATCTGCAGCGAATTTTCCTCGCCATTTTCTCTTCTCGCAAAATACTTTGCTTTGCATCCCGCCGAGGGAAACTTTTGAGTAGGATGGAGAAACTTTTTGGCGGAAAATTTTAATAAGCAGACAACGATTGCGGCTGACAAACGTGAAAAGGAAAATTCTTAAAAGAAAAGCGATATCTGCCTTCCGGTAACTGACCTACTTTAGTATGATCATTTAATTGACAAGTTTGACTACGAAAAAGACTAATTTTTATATATTTATCGTATGATATTCAGATTTTTGGGAGAGGTATAATAGGTTTTTGATAACTGACCTATAGCAAATCGATAATTGATTTGATTAGTCATTCTTATGGTCAGTATTGTGCGATAATAGCTTATATGTGGTAACTTCTAATCTTGATAAAGTTTATAGCCACCTATATTATGATGTCATGGCTTTATTATAATGAGTCATGTATCGTAAAGGAGTTTACCCAAAAGTCAGGTTTTCCCCTAATTAAATGCATGCAAGAAATCTAAGAACTATAAATTTTCAATGTTTTAATATACTTAGAAAAATCATGGACACTTTTGTAAAATACCTTATCTTTAACCAAGAGTTTAATATTTCAATTTAATTACTTATGATACTGAAGGGATTTTCTATGGCAATTATGGAATTCATTCCAAAACATGTAGATAATTATTATAATCAAAAATATCCCCTTATTTCATCAGCCGTTTATCAATTGACCTCAAAATACCTTTGACTTCCAGAAGCCTCTAGTACTTGCGTTCATTTAAATGTCCTTGAAAGAGCAAACGTCCTGCAAAGCCTCCTTCAAATTCTATTTCCATCCATCACAATAATACTTAAGCATCCCCGAGATATTGTAATTTTGCTGCGATTATCGGTCTGGGGTCAAGTGGCCAAGTGACTTTGACCGAGAGCCCGTTGTGGCCGATGTCCTGTGACCTCGTCGAGTGCATTAAACTGAGGCCGCCATGTGCCGACGCCCGCAGGTCGAGTCAACGGCCGAAACATACCGAAAAAGCGAGAAATCCTGGCAAAAACTGAGCCTGTGACTGGGCCGAGAGTTCGTCGTCCATCGGAAGAGAAAGAAAGAGGGGGCCTTTCGTAACGCCCTCGACCGGAGGATACCGAGTGTTCCGAGGAACAAGGACCAAGGAACGACGTCGACCGCTGTCATTGCACTGCCCCGCCCACCGGCACCTGCTGCCGCCGACGCCGCCCACTTCCGTCGACAGTGAAAACAGAAAACAGAAAACCGAAAGGTTATTATAACAATAAGGAGCAGTCAGTGTCTGGGCCCCCACTACTTAAAATTCTGCACGGGGCGAGTCTAATAACCTTTCCCTTTCACCGAACAAATCCAGCAGACGACGCCCACACAGCCCTACATATATAAGGGTACATATATTTAAATGTACTTATATATAGGGACCTCCAACGACAGTAAAAGTCATCGCCATCGAGGTCGAGACATCTTCTTCCTGCCGCTCCTGTTTCGGCCTTATGTAAGTTCCAGCCAGGCTAATGAAATCGTCAGACTCCTGCCTCCATTAAAGTATATATTTGGTAATGTACAGCGTGCATGTTCTGAATATATTTTCTGATGATCACTTGTGTGTTATTAAATTAAATGATATATTATAGTCTTTAGAATCAAAGTGGAGAGTTACAGAGAACAATAATTATTCAGAGTGGGTTCATAAAATATTCGCAATACTTATAAGAAACAAAAAGATTTTTTTTACTATTTACTAGAAATCATTTCTATCAATTTATTATTATGTTTGGATTTTCATTTCAAAAAGTAGATAATATTAAGAACTTTTATACTACATGAAAATACTGATGTTTTGGTT